TTTATTTTCTTTAAATTAAAATATATGAAATTATTTGTGTAGAAATCACAAAAAATATTACTTGTTACTTTACTTTTTTACTGACTTGTTTACAGAATTGGAGAAAAAAAAATATTACTGAAATGAATTTTTCTATAATATTCAAATTATTTTTTTAATTGAACGATTACCATTTTTTATGTTATTTAAAAGTAGTGTTTATTAAGCTGAATTTCCTTCTTTTCCATTTAGTCAAAAATTAATTATACTAAGTAAGTTAATAAAAGAAAATAAATGTATACTATTATTTCAATTGTATTCATTACTAATTTATTTAGTCATTTTTTTATTTAAATAATTGTTATTTCTTAAAATAAGTCATTTGTTTACTTAACTATGTATTTCTTATATTATTTGCTATTGATATTTACTAAGTATTTTTCATTTTTCATTTAGTCACTACAAACACTATTTCGTTAATTGCATTCAAATTGAAAAAAAAAAAAACAAAGAAAAAAAAACAATCATAACTATAATAATAACTACAAAAAATGAAATTGCATTCACATTGAAAACGAAATCCACAAAAAAAAGACAACAAGAGGCATTCTTGACTAGGCGAACGCGAACGAAGAGGGAGGAAGAATCTCCGGCGACAAGGGCTTCTCTGGCCACCAGCGCTGCAACAGAGCGGAGAAGGAGCCCGCTGGGCTGGGAACGGCTGCGACAAAGAGGAGAAGGGGGAGGAAGAACGAGCTGCGCTCACGCAAGGCGACCAAAGGCTTATGAAGCCTTATTTTTTTGCGATCAATTAAAAAATCGATCACAATTTTTAATCATGCGATGTCATTTTGTTGTCAGAAAAATTGCGATCGACTTGCGACCAACATAATCAGTCGCAAATCGGTCAAGAGTCGGTCGCATAACGAAAACTAAATTTGGTGCTGAACTGCAGTGTGCAATTTTGTGACTGATTTTGAATCTGTCGCAAATTCGGTCGCAAATTAGTCACAATAGGATTGCAAAATGAAAACCAAACTGGCGGGAATTATTAGCACTACAATTAGCAACGAATCTAACTTTAGTCGTAAATTTTGTCGCCGTTTGGTTGCAAATTCATCGGTGGATATACAATCTACCAATCATCGCAATTGGTTGCAATATCATGGCAACATTGCAACCGATTTACGTCGGTCGCAAAAGTATGTTTTTTTTTTTTTTTTTTTTTCAAAAATCCACGGTGGAATATAACACATATTCTACACTACGATGGACGCCCCATTGTTTGCAAGTAATCATGGCAACATTTGCACCGACTTTACGCTCGTCTGCAAAAGTATGTTTTTTTTTTTTTTTTTTATTATTGTAGTTTTAAGATCTTTTATTATTTGGAGTAGTAATAGTAGATAAGAAGCGCAAATCTTCTCATATCATAAATAGAAAGGAAATATTGTAAGAAAAGTAATAAATTACTACAAGACTTTGAAGGATAAGACCTATATGATACATTTTCACGAACAGTTGGAGCCCTATAACCATAGCCATCAATAAGATGTTTTTTTTTTTTTTTTTTTTGTAGTGTAGCATCTTTTATTATTTGGATAGTAATGTAGAAAGAAGCGCAAATCTTCTCTCTAATAGAAGGAAGAAATTTGAAAGTAATAAAATCAGACTTGTAGAAAGACCATAGTATCGAACAGTGGCCATAAATAGCCATCACGTGGAGCAAACGATCACCTATGGCACAAATGTTATGCTCAAGTTTATTTTTTGTATAAATGGTTTGTTGTTATTCTTCCTATGTAAAACTATATAAACATATTAATCTGTATCTCATAACTATATACAGTTTTCTTTTAATGAAATTTATAGTTTGAAAAAAATATTGAGTCATAGGATTGATCAACGTTCAATGAAGGAAATTTATTTCAACAAGTTATAGCTTAAAATATAAAGATGTTCACTTATTTCTTATTTTGTCTGAACTTTTCTTTTTCCAAGAGAAAAAAAAAATTATTTAATAAGATAAAAAAATACTGAAATATAATATCTTTAAGATGCTATAATTTAAAAAAGGGTAAATAATTATTCCTTTAAAAAAAAAGGTAAATAACTCTTTAGTCTCTAGATTTAGATATAATTATAATTTCATACCTTTCATATAACAAATTCACTGATTAGTTTGCGAGATGTAGTTCTGTTAAATTATTTAGTTATTTCATTCAAAAAGTGTCATTTTACATCGTTAAATATTCTTTTATATTTGATAATTTTGGTCCTTCATATTTAATTTCATATTTAATACAACGTTACTATTGAATCCTTCATATGTATTATCAAATTATTATTTAGTCCCTCATTTTGTACAGGAAGGACTAAATAATTTAATGAAACTAAACCTCATAGATTAATCAGTATATTTACCAAACACGAGGATAAAGTTGTAATTATAACTTTATTTGAGAGATTAATTAAATAATTATTTTACATTTTTTCAAAAGAAATATTTTGAAATATAAGAATAAATTAGGAATTTAAATGGTAAAAGTATTGGAGAAGGAAAGATTCGAACCTGGATTTATTATGGTCGTAATGCACTTACTACCAAGCTATGTCTTGGTGTACAATGGTAAAAAGAAAGTTGATCGTACTCTTAAAACATAAAAATTTAATGTTAAAGAAATTTAGCATTAGTATTATCTTAGTATGCATAAAGCTTGAAGTAAAAATAGTTAAGATGACTAAAATATGGCCCTAACTGCATAAGTGGTTATTTGAAAATTTGTAACTTGCAATTATTGTAGTATGTATGGATTATATAATTGTTGTTGGTGATTTGGTGAGTCCAGCTTATAATTGATATTATGGACATAATAACTTTAAAAAAAAAAGAAAAAAGAAAAAATAAAAAATGTTTTAGAACATTGTTGGAGTGTCGTTTAGAATAGAGGATTAGCGTTTTTGTATACCAATAAAAAGAAAGTACGTTTTGATATTAGCTTAGAGGTTATTTGTTGGGCTGAATTTTGAATTTGAATGAATAGCTTATTAAGCTGAATGATTAAGAAATGATTGTTGAATGATTGATCATTATATTATATTATTTTATAATTTTGGAATGTTATATCTTTTATCAATAACTTATATAGTTTATTGAATTTGCTGGAAAAAGAAATTTTCTCATTCAAACAAAATTTAGCTTATAAATTCAGATAACCAGCTTATTGATTAACTCCAGATAAACAAGCTTATTTATTATTATTATTATTATTATTATTATTATTAGATGAATTTTAAATGTTGAATATGAATCCACTGACTTATTAAGCTAAATAATTAAAAATCAATAATTGGTTGTTCACCATTTATTGAGAAGTGATATATAATGTCAATTATATTGATTGCAAAGTGATTAATTAAGAAGTGATATATAATGTCAATTTTATAATTATAGGGAGAATTTTATTTTTTTTTCATGCAATGAATTACATAACTTACTGAATCAGCTATAAAAATAAACTTTTTCATTCTGCCAAAATTTGATTTGCAAATTTAGAGATAAGTACACTTATTTCATTATTATTTGAATCAATAAGTTGGAGGTTGAATAAACTGTTATTGAATTGAAACAATTCAGAAAACAAATTAACATTTTGAATGTATTTTATTATTTTCCTCAGAATTTGTTAAAAATATAGGATTTTTTTTTTTTTTTTTTTTTTATTGCTATATATTTAACATTTTTGAATGTAATTTTATTATTTCCCTCAAGACATTTGTTAAATATAGGGAGATTTTTATTTTTTTTTTATTTGTATAATTATGGCTTTTCAGCTTGTAATGAATTTGGGGAGACTTCAATTTCTGCAATTGATTTTAATATCTGATGTCCAATTAATAAATTCATTATTAAAAATTTTTAGTTTGGGTTGGTTAAGGTAAGATAGTAAGTCTTCTAATGTACTTTTTGAAGGCTAATAGTAGCTAATTTTATTAAATATTTATTGATTTTTTTGATTTGTTTAAATCAACTTAAGAAAACTTCATCAAATTATTACCGCCCCAACTATAGAAAAACACATGCAAATTTTATTAGAATAATCATTAACCTATTACAGGATTAAAGATTAATTGAGATTCACCCTAAATTAACATTTCTACCAACTTTTGGGCTGAAGACTCGAATATTAAAAAGTATATAACCAAAAGGTCTGGTTGTAACTCTTTAGACCTATTGTCTTTTTTTATCTTCAATAAATGGTAATTTGTATTAATTTTTTTGGGGAAGGTGTTTTTTTGTTCCATTTGAAATCATATATTAAAAAATGTCCGATTTTTACTAAGAAGGTGACCGAATAGGATTTGTCCATTATGGCAACGTGAACAAAAGAATAAGCCAACATGTCTCATTTATGTAGGAGTAGCAGATGACTTATTTTTTCAACTTTTGACACACTCACATTAAGGGCTAGCTGTTATATTGCATATTTTTTTTTTTTTCAAATTATAGAGCCCAGAGATATCAAGAAAGTTTACTGGTCTGATTATTACTAAGATTTGCACTGGCACAGACCTACGAAGAGGGACAATATAGCATGTTCTCAAGGTTCCTAGAGTGTTAAAAAAGTACATACTCTTATTAACCTAAAAGCCTCGAATTTTTAATGAAATCCTCTAATAAAAAAAAAAATGATGTTTCTGCCCATAAATTTCAGTACGGGAGGGGAGACTGATAAACCCTATAGATCTTGTTAGTCTCGAGTAAATAGACATTAATTACTGGGGATTCCAGTGAACGCGAGAAGAGTGAAAACGAAAAAAAAAAAAGACACACGCTAATTCGACATAATAAATATAGTATCTATATATAACTATTAAAGTAGTCTGTGGTAGGACCGGGATTTAGCACCCACAAGCGGAAAAAAAAAAAAAAAAGAACAGTAATGCATATATATATATATATATATTGTAGTTGTAAGGTGCACCCACCAAGCAAGTTGAATATAGAAAACAAAGTTTGGAAAGAAAGAGAGAATCTCCTTTGACCCAAAAACTTGCATTATTACTCATTTTATGGACCATGAAACATAATTTCTCACGTGTCATGCAAGTCCTACAAACAGTGTTCAGATTAAAAATTTTTTAAAATTAATTTATATATACACTCATTTGTGGAGGAGTACTTGACTCTATAGTGTTTGTTTAACATTAAAAATGGGAAAGTTCAAAAGGGTTTGTGTGTTTTGTGGAAGTAATTTAGGAAATAAAAAGATTTTTAGTGATGCAGCTCTTGATCTTGGAAGACAACTGGTCAGTCTCTTTCTCTTTAAAGCTGTCTCTCTAATTCTTGAGCTTTTTAGCAGGATTTATGAAAGGGATTAGTAACTAATTTAATTTGCAGGTGGAAAGACAGATGGATTTAGTATATGGAGGAGGGAATTTTGGGTTGATGGGTCTTGTTTCTCAAACAGTTCATGATGGTGGACGCCATGTTCTGGGGTAAGTAATATATATATGTGGAGATATCATGTAGATACATGCAAAAATTGACTTTTTTATCAAAAACTTGAGAGCTCCAGAATGCTGTTCTTGTTTTTCTTTGTTAATGGATGATATAATTAAGTTTTATATATTGTTTTATTTCATCTCTTTAATTCACTTCAATAATTTTTTTTTTTGGCTAGAGTTATCCCAACAGCTCTTATCCCAGTAGAGGTATATGAATTACCTCTCAATTTGTCTTTTTCTCTCTTGAATGTGTTTGTATATATATGCATGTGTTTGTACCAATGATTTGTTATCAGATTTCAGGTCATGCAGTGGGAGAAGTATTGATTGTATCTGATATGCATGAAAGGAAGGCTGAGATGTTTAGGAGAGCTGATGCTTTCGTTGCTCTTCCTGGTATATATATTTAGTTTCTTTAATGGATTTTTTATTTTCTTTAATATATTTATTAATTTTTGGTTCATGAAGGAGGGTATGGAACCTTGGAGGAGTTGCTTGAGATTATAACATGGTCTCAACTTGGAATCCATGACAAACCAGTTAAGTTTTGTTGCATCTTTCTTTTCATTTGTTTGTAATTATATATCAATGTATGTTAATTAAGGCAATTAATTTTGAAAGAGATGCCTAAATTCAAAAGAAACTTTTTTGCTATATATACTAATTATTGAAACGAGATGGCCTAAATTCAAAAAAGAAACATTTTTTTTTTTTTTTTTTTTTTTTTTTTTTTTTTTTTTTTGCTATAGTATATAATATTATACTATTATATAATATACTACTGAAAAGAATCATACAATCCATAGAATTCAATAGTTATTCTAATATAAAAGAAAAATGATTTTTTTTTCTGTAAAACAAAATCTAAAAATTACATAACATCTTATTCCAAAAGAATTAGCAGTTCACTTTTAATTTTGAAAAATAACAATTAAATATGGCAAGAGTCAAAACTCATGAGGTTTTTTTTTTTTTTTTTGAATGCTTCTTTAAGACTTTTATAGATATTTTTTTTTTCAAACCACTATTTGTAGTTTGCTTTATTCTAATTAGTAAGTTAGCAGAAGACGCATTTCAAGTCTAGATTAGAAAGAATAGGAATCAATAAGTAACTAACTACATCTTAAAAAAAAAAAAAAAAAAAAAAAAAAAAAAAAAAAAAAAAAAAAAAAAAAAACGCTTAAAACTATTTTTCAATTTCTTTTGTCTGGTTTTGGAAATTCCTTAATTACTTTGGAAAATCTATTGGTAAAAAATGAATTCTCTCTGTTAATTAACTAATTTTACTTAATTTCATAGAAGTGGAAATTTAAAATAATAATAATAATAATAACAAAAATGCATCCAAGTGGTAACTCAAACCAACTATTTTTATTGGATTTTGTTTTAATAATTTAAAATTATTCTGAAATTAAATCATTTTTTTACCATTTCAGTCCATGTTATGTTGGTCTACATATATAAATGTTGGTCTCTTTCTCTATTTTAGGGCATCAACCAGTTGAGTTGCTTTACCCTAGCTTGTGCTCTTTAACTCCTATTACTTGAATAAATTTATTTTGCAGTGCATATAAATATTTTGAGTCAGAAATATAAATTACTAGTTGTGATCTGCAATTTGGGCGCTGCATTTTTATATTTTATTTAAATAATAATGATTATAAAAATATTATATAATTAATTATATTTAAAATCTCAAAACATAAAATTGATTGTTTGAAATTTTATAAAAGAATGCACATCACTTCAAAAGGTAATAAATTAAATTGATTTGTCTCTGCAACACTTTAAATTCAAATGAGTTCCAATAACCACAAATAATAAGATGCATTAGATTCATATTTGAATACTATAATTACATTTTTGTATTTATTTTAATTGATATATTGATATTATTTTTTAAAATAAAATTATTTTTATTTTAATATTATAAAAAAAATCTAAAAAGCTCTTATGAATATCCTATTTTATTAGACTTTATCTTAATAATTTTTTATGATCAACTTTAAATATTTAAAATATATCTCAAGCAATCTAATCAAAATGTAAGTAAAAATAAATGAAAATTATATATATACTCTGGATAATTTTTAAAGAAAAATATACTCTTGCATAAAACTCTTGAATGCAATTTTTGAAATTGGTCTCTCCCGCTGCATAAATTATTATGATAGAAATAATAAAAAAAAAAAATTGTATATTTACTTAAAAGGTCTTCTTCATTCACTTGAATTAAGAACATATCCCCATTCATATAGTGCGAGCTGTAATATATTCAATGTTAGCTATCTAAATATCTAAATATTTGGCTCCCTATTTAAATTTTTTTCTTTATTATTTTTATACAAGTTTACAAATCAACTTGGTTCATGCATAAAATATTATGCATATATATATAATATGTTATTTAAAATTATTTAATTAAAAAAAAAAAAAAAAAAATTAACTCTAACTCGATTAATCATTAAAAGGATATATAAATTTATTTATTAGTATCAAACTCAAACTCAAACAAATTTCAAATCAGCTCCAGTTCGAGTTTGAATTCGGCATGTCAATCGAGTTGTTTACTAATACTTGAATTCTGCTGAAGCAAATTCAAACAAAACCCCTGTAGCTTGACTCACTCACCCTCACAAAGCACAGATTTTTAACACAACTACAAGACGAAAGAAAATGCAAACAGAAGGATCAGTCCAGTGTCAAAAGGGTAAACTCTACTGATAGGAAAGAAATACTGAACATATGCAAATGTACTAGATTATAGAGATCTTGCTGACTATAGAAGTTGAGAAATTAATTAACATCATAGAATAGAACTCATCGAATAAAAAGAAAAAAACATAAATTTCTACAACTAATGATTGAAGGAGACATCATAATGAATCCAGAAGGGCAATATGGCTGTTCTATAACTAATGGTGGAAGGAGAATTGAGTGGCTGTTCTATAACTAATGGTGGAAGGAGAATTGAGAGGCAGCTCAACAGGAGAAACATGGTGTTGAATAGAGACGTAATTGGTTCAGTAACTCAAAAAAAGAAGTCTTATACAGAAATTCTCACCAATCTGTAGCATCTGTTATTAATTTTCTCCTTGATTTCTAGTTGTCTAATTACATATAACATTTTCTGCTTGCTTCTCCTAGTTCTCAAATAAAATTGTTCAAAACATAGATGAAGCAAACTACACAGCAGGACAGAAATGAACTCTATAAACATGCATCTTGTTGTAAGAGACAGAGATATATATAAAATGACCAAATCATTGCCAATTATCAATTTCAAATACCAAAAATAAGCCTAAACACATTTCCCGTTGTTTGGTAAAAATGAATTTGAAATATAAAATTTATTTGCAAATGCTAGAATTTGATTTACTTGTGTAATTCCGTAAAACTTGACTTTCATAAGAGCGAAATGAATATTTTCAATCATATACCAGCCAAATATAAAAAGTTGAAAACATGAAATTGAAATTCCAATCTGTGAAGATTCGTAGCATTGCATACCTCTGTAAGGTTTACAACTACTAGTGAAAACTCATACACATAAATCTCAATGCCAGAGAATTCAAGGAAATCAAAAGTACTCATAATGTAACTTCACTTATTAAACTATCATAATAGGCAAAATTGGATGTTCACCAAGAAACAAGAGAGTCATTTACTTACTTTGAGAACAGATCTTAAGAGAACAGAACAAAATAAAGGCACATATAGTTAGAGAAGATATTAAATAAATGAATAAATCACATCCATTCACTTCAGCAAAGATCATAAGAGAATAGAAAAAACTGCAAATTTATATTACAGATATATGGATGTCATGTTCAGTTGGAATTGCCAATCAATAGAATAGAAGAACAACAAAAAAAGACAGGAGTAGCCAAAAATGAGCTCAATAATATATTTCTCTAACTGAACAAGAAATCAAGTGGTATGAATCAATTTGGAAAAAGAGTGTGAAGTAGCATCCAACCTTGTTAGCATGTATTGATCCCATCCTTGCAGTCGCTCGTCAAATTATAAAATGTTTCAACACGTGTCTTTGCCCTGTAAAGAACCTCAGTGTCCACTGCAACTCTCATGTACCCATCAAACTCAACCGGCCGTCCATTATTCAACAGCACTGTTTCATTGTACCAATCACTGGTATTACCCCACAACTCCTTGTAATCATCAAGCAAATGAACCTTAAAGTGAGATCTCAATTTATCGAAGTAATTGTAGAATGGCTCATTGGTTGCAATATACAGATTCCTCCAAGGCTGAATCATGCCTTGAAGCTTTGCAACGAGTGCATCAGGTGAAGTATCAGCATCCAAATGAGGCCAGAGTTCCTTATTCTGTGCTTTCTCTCCTCGAACCACATGAACTGCATCAAAATCCCAGTCCATTCGCCCACTGATAGCTGTAACTATGTTCATCAACCTCTTTGATTTCCAAAGTGCATACCATGGCCTCTGAATGTACTTTGAAGCTTCTCCTTCGCACACCCGGTACCAATAATTTTCTGGCTCCGGAGCATCAAACTGCCTCCATATAATTGTGCTCCTATCTTTCTTCAATTGCATTGGTGTCATCTTATGTGTCACAATCTTCCTAACTGGCAATTTCTTCTTATGAGCGCGATCCCATTTCTTCCAATTTCTCAAAAATTCACTCTCTTCTACAATTGATGCCACCTCCTTAAGATGCTCAAAATCAAAATAATACCGAAAATCTTTCCCTTCCTCATCCTTCCCACTTGAAGTATAACTACTTGCTAAGCATAAACTCAAATCCATCACAAATGTCCTGTTCAAATACATAGCTTCCCCTAATCCACACAAGAAACTCCACATATAATGATTCATTCCTTTACAATAATCCCCTCCCCTTGAATAATACAAATACTTCCCTTTCCTAAAGTTCACCTCCGATCCCAAGCTCGGGATTGTGTCATTTATCTCCTCATCACGAAACGATGATACAACTTTTGGAGTATTTCCACCATTTCTGGTAGTATTAATTCTACTTCTTTGTCTTCGAGCATTAATGCCCGAATGCCAACCATTAGCATGCACAATCTTATAAGTACAATTCTCTCCAATTCCAACCTGAAACCTCCTAAAATCTCTATACTTTCTCCAGGACTTCTCCTTCTTGTTTCGAAACCTCCATGCCACATCACACTCATCTGGCTTTGATCCATTGACAGGAGTTTGATATTCAAAAAACACAATTGACTTAAACCACTTCAAATTAAACTTCTCAACCGCTATCAAAACCCTAGGATCTGAGCAATTCACAACCTTCAAATCCTCACAACCAGATGATTGGAGGGTCATATTAGTGACTTTCTCCTCAGATTTCTCAATCACTTGCTCAGTTATTGGTTCAATCACTGAAGCAGGTGGTACTGCAGGGGCTTGCACGGATTGCAAATCCTCACCAGTTTTGAGAATTGAATTATCATTTTTAAAAGTTGCATTTTCACTTTGAGTAAAGAATTTAGTAAGGGCGGGAGCTGATTCTAGCCATGGATCCGGAGGTTGGTAAGTGATAGCAATAACTGTAAATATTAAAACTGAAAATACAAAAACTGAGAAACATAAATTGCTTATTAACTTTATCAGGTTTTGCCCAATAGGCTCAGTTGCTGGATTTGTCTCTTTCATGGGTTCTTTAGCTCAACCTTTAAGAATCCAAATTTTGAAATCTACCCAGATCTTAAAAACAACCAAGAAAAATGAAAAGATCCAAACCCAAATTTACTAATGCCACATACATTCATGAGTTCTCTTCATTTTTTCCAAGACCGAGTAGTAAAAACTTGAAATCAGTTAAGAAACTAGAGAGAAATATGAAAAAATGAAAGAGGTAGGATTGGATATACTTACAAGGAATTGAAAAAGAGCTCAGATCTAAAATTGAAGAAAATTTTGAATAAGAGATTCTACCGTTACTGCGTGGGGAAGAAATGATGGGAATGGCTTTGGTTAGAAGTTAAGCAAAAGATTTGTCTGAACTCGAAAGTAGAAGAGTGAGTTGTTGCCAGCAGTGGGCTGTAATTAACACCTGATAATTGTTTGATGCCGCGTCATAATCCAAGGATTTGTCATTTGGAGGTTAAACAAAACCCATACGTGTTAACGCTTTAAATTTAGGCTTTTTTACTATAGTAAAATCAAGGTACTTAAATTTTATAGTAATATTAACTTTTAACTTGTAATATTTACAATATTTCATAATATTCCATAGAAAACTAATTATTTTTTTGTAAAAATACTTTTTAATAAATATTTTTAAATATTTTATAAAAGAAGGATATTTGTTGTAAAAAGTAATGATGTACAAAATAAAAAAGTATAATCATACGTAATTTGTAATATGTATAAATATTTTGTAAAGGGCAGTGTTAAATGGCACAAATTGTGCCTACCACAACATGTGTATAGTAAATATAAATTATCCATAATGCCTTTAATATATTTAATTATTTTTTGGATAGAGAAAAGTGAGAAAGACCCCTTAATCAAATTAAACTATCAAATAAAGGTGCAATGTTCTCATTGTCATTGTCATTGCCATTGCTTGCCGGACTAACGCCGACCACCGTGCTTGATGACCGAAAAATCAAACCAACCCAAAACCTTGCCCTCTACATATATCAAAATGATGAAAATTTCATGAGGGATTTAATTTTGTTATCAATTTACTGTTGTGCGAACTACTTGAGCTTTTATTCTATTCTAACTACATAATCAACAAGAGGAGCAGGTCTCTTAAGAGCATACTATACTACATGAAAAAGAAGGAAAAGAAGCTTAAATTTCTATTCAAACTTCCAGGAATCACACTACTTTCATTTAAAGCAAGAAGTCTTAAAAGGGCTTTAAAGTAGAGCTAGGAGACGGATCTGAATACTGCCACACTCAAGGAACATGCCAACGAAGCTTAAGGGTAAGAAGATCAAAGTAAGGACTAGAGAAATGCGTATTTTATTAATTTTATCGATTTCATCAAAAATTCCAAACTCAAATTCAAATTTCAATTCACATAATCTTTCACTAAATCTTTAAGTGAATACAAAATCAAGTTTACTTTTATAGAAAACTATGAATTCAAGGTTACCTCAATTAAAAAATGCAGCCAGAATTGCAAAGCCCAACTGAAAAATTCAAAAATAATCAAAATTGAATTTCTTAGTTCACAAAAATATGAACTTGATCAACCAAATGATGACTAGAAATAGACTTAATATAACTAGAGTTGTATTTTGCAACCTTGTTCACGTTATACGGTGTCCGAGTTCAACCCGAGAAGGAGAGACAGTAAGTTATTTCGCTTGACGTAACAAAAGAGAAGATAATGAAGAAAATGACATTTACTCTCCCTCAAACTATTTATAGTCTGATTCAATCTGATTAGAGTTCGATTCTATCTGAATCACAAAATCTTGATTTCTTTAGTTTTTTAGTGATTTAACTTAATTGATTAGATTATTATGCATTGATTGATTATATTAAGAAATAAATGTGTTAATTGATTTTACATACTTCTCTTAATCATTAGAAGACTTTCCATATCCATTAGAATGATGATCTTAAAATCAGGTATAGTTCTAAGAATTGAGATTCAATACCTTAATTAGCAAATATTATTAACTAATGTCAAGGTATTTCAAATCATTGAAATATAACTACAATCTTTTTAATTACTACCTAGTATTATTCTATATAATAATAATAATAATAATAATAATAATAATAATAATAATAATAATAATAACATCATCAAAACGGCGTAATTTTGATGTAGTAAGTTTAAATCAATCCTTAACCAAAACTATATCATGCTAACTATGCTAATTATCATTCTTATTCTAATTGCATCACAATTATAGACATTCTAATTATAATTAGCATTATAATCAAATTTAGTATTAACTTATATTATATGATTATAACTATTATAATAGTACTATAATTATAGAATTTCTTATTATTACTAATTTATAATCTAACCTATTCATATTCTAACAATATTGTATACTAGACATTCTAATTATAATAGCCATTATAAATTCAAAATTTAGTATTAACTTATATTATATGAATTATAACTATTATTAATAGTTACTAAATTATAGAATTTTCTTATTATAATAGTACTATAATTATAGAATTTCTTATTATTACTAATTTATAATCTAACCTATTCATATTCTAACAATATTGTATACTAGTATAATTATAATTTACTGTTATAATCAAACTTAATACTAACTTCTATTATATGATTATACCTATTATAATTACTATTATCATTCTAATACTACTATAATCACAGAATTTTCAATTATTACTAATTTATAATCAAACATATTCATATTCTACATTATTGCATACTCGTATAATTATTAATTATGATTATAATTACAATTATAGCCAAATAAACTAAGTTAAAATGGTTCTCTTTGATAATACTAGGCGTTACATCTACTAAGTATTATAAAGCTAAGTATAACTACTTTACTAAAAGGACTAATAACCTTATAGACAAATGAATAATCTAATTATACTAATATGTAATATTGTTAGATTATAAATAGATTTAAATATAAACTAGTGATAATTAGAAATTTTATAATTATAGCACCATGAGAATGATAGTGATAATCATAATAGTTGTAATCATATAATAGAAGTTATTATAATATTAAGTTTGACTAATTATAATTAGAATGTCTATAATTATAATAGAATTAGAATTTAAAGGATAATTAGCATACTTGATAGTTTTACTTGTGGGTTGATTTAAATTCCCTGCATCAAAACTATATCGTTGTGATGGTAAAATGAGTATTATTATTATTATTATTATTATTATTATTAATGGTTTGAAATATCTTGATATTGATTAATTACGTATGCTAATTATTAATTAACACATTGAATCGAAATTCCTAGAATTATGCCTTATGTTAAGATTATCATCATTTCAATGGATATAGAAAGTCTTCTAATGATCAAGAAAAGTATGTAAAAATCAATTAATGCATTTATTTCTCAATTTAATCTAATTAATACAACAAGTTAAACTGCTAGAAAAAAAAAAAAAGAAACCAAGACTTTTATGATTCAAACCGAATCGAATTTAAATCAGACCAAATGGGACTATAATTAGTTCGAGAGGAGAGAGAAAATTCTACTTTCTTCTTCCTCCCCTCCTTTGTTGCCTCTTATGATAGAGGTCGACTTACTGCCTCTCCTTCTCCAATCAAACTCCGGTCATCGATTGTTTAACAAGAATAAAATGGCAAAATACTCCTCCATTTACGAAAAACCTATATTCGGTCACCATTTGGTCGATTGAGTTCCTATTTTGGGACTAAGAAATTCAAGTTTTGTTGTTTTGAGTTTTCCAGTTGGATTTCACGATTCTGGCCATATAATCCTTATTGAGATAAGCTTGAATTAATAGTTTTCTATGAACTAAACTTGATTCTGTGTTGACTTGATTTGGTGGAAGGATTTTATGGATTGAAATTTAGGTTTGAGTTTAGTAAATTTGGTGCTTTATTGAAATTGATAAAAAATTTATAGAAATTGATAGTAGAACTAAGATCCTCACAAAATTCTGATCATTTTAATATATAAAAAGCAACTTTTTGAATTGGTTCCATTTTTGGCCACCATGTATGGTTGTTGGCAGTGACGGTCCTCACAAAGTCCGATTGATTGAAACTCATAACATTCGTCATATCACAAAACAAACTATTTAAATTCTTTAAGGACATTACTGTCTTTTTATGTCATATCATAAAACAAAATTTTAAATTCTCTAAGGGCATTCCTGTCCTTTTACCACAGTGCAACTGGACTGTCCCAGGCACAACTTGTTTCAAAACTATTTATCGTTTTGTAAAAGATGGTAATTTTTTTATATAATTATCGAATTATAAAATAATATCTCTAATTGGAAATATTTTGTTATAATTGTTAATAATTTATAAAAGTGATTATTTTCTTTAACATGTCGAATACACAATAATGACTCTGACCATCAACATTTTGTAATACTTCCTAGCAATTTATATTATTTCTCTTAAAGTTGCCAGATTACAAATTAATAGGTCTAATTTCCAATATTTTATAATACTTTTATATTATTTTGGAAAAGCTAGTTGTTTTTTTATTACAATTTCAATTGTCACTATTTTTGTAATTTTCCTAATCTATTGTAAAAAAGATTGTATTTTTTATAAAGTCAGTGGTCTATAAAATAATAGCTTCAGTTGCTAATATTTTGTAATATATGAATTTAGGCTAGCCTATGTCGGATCTATTATTTATCAAAAAAAAAGCTATAGGCTCACTCATGGACTAAACTAATAAAAATAGAGATTTTTTAAATATCATTCCGATTTTATCCTTTTCTAGGGTATAGTTAGAAATACACTCATTTGAAAAAACTTATTTTCATTAGTTCAGTCACCAATGAACTCATATATTCAATCTAGGTAAATCAATCTCGTAATATATTCAAATACATTGTAAGATGATGTTTTTTTGTAAAGTTGCAAGATTATAAAATAAGAGCTCTAATTGCCATTATATATAATATTTCTTAATATTTTGTAAAAGGTACTTATTACTTATAAAAATTGGTGATTTAAAAAATTAAAGCTCTACTTGTCAATATTTTGTAATATTTTCAAGTATTTTATAAAATGTGGATTTTTTTATAAAATTACTGAATTACAATATAATATATTTAAATTCCAATATTTTGTAAACAAAATTTAATATTTTGTAAAAAGTATAAGTAAGGAAATTTCCTTAATCAATTTCATTTTTAAAATAAGGATTTACATTTAGGTTCAATTTGATATTCACAAAGCCCTGTTCTTTTAATAGTTGTTATCTTTCTCAATAAATATCAGTTGTTTTATTAACATTTCATTTTGTTTTTGAAGAAATGCTGTGCTCAGTGCATATTATTAATATCAAAAAGATAATGAATCAAACAAGAAAGAAGGAGGACATATCCCCCCCATTCAAAACCAGACAT